AGTGGGATAAGGATCAAGAGCGAGCATTTAATTCGTTAAAGGATAAGCTTTGTTCAACACCTTTTTTTTTTTTTGTCTAACTTTGCTAATACTTTTGAAATTAAATGTGATGCTTCAGATGTTGGTGTTGGGTCTGTTTTTATTCAAAGAAAAAGACCAATTACCTACTTTAGTGAAAAGCTCCATGGTTCTTCATTGAACTATTCTACCTATGACAATGAACTTTATGCTTTGGTTCTAGCTTTTGAGAATTGACAACATTACCTAAGGCCTAAGGAATTTTTCATTTATACTGGTCATCAATCATTGAAGTTCTTAAAGGGGCAAGGTAAGTTGAATAAGAGGCATGCTAAATGGGTTGAGTTCATTGAAATATTTCTTTATGTGATTAAGTACAAGCAAGGTAAAGAGAATGTTATGACAGATACACTTTCAAGAAGGTACTCTTTACTCAATGCTTTAGGTGCTCGACTGCTTGGTTTTGAACATGTTAAATCTCTTTATGAAAATAATTCTGATTTTTCTAGCATTTTTAAGGCATGTGAGAAAGTTACATTTGGTAAGTTCTATAGAATGGATAGGTTTTTATTTAAAAAGAATAAGTTGTGCATATCTATTTGTTCTATGTGAATGTTGCTTGTTAAAGAATCTCATGGGGAGGTTTGATGGGACATTTTTGTATTTCAAAAACTTTAGATACTTTAAAAGTCGATCTTTCGTCTCTCTTGGCAATTCTTCAAGCCCACAGGTTTTCTCATGGGCTTCAAGCCCATTCTTTTGTCTCATCTTGGATCTCTAGGTCCGGTTAGATCTAACTTGGACCTTCCTTTTGACAACTTTTGGGCCTCCAAGGCTGTCCCTTTCTTAACCCAATCTTGGTCACAAGGTTTGGATCTCTTTGGGTGCTCATTGGGTCAAGTACTTGGCCCCATATGCAAGAGTTTTGAGTTCTTCTCCTTTGAACCCTTGGACTAAGTTTCAAATCCCTCTTTAGATGAATTTTGGACCTGGGCCACTACTAGACTTCTTTTTGGGCCAGGATTATTGGCCCATTCAAAGGTGGTCTCGACTTGGACTTCTGGGATTGTTTTTGGGCCAGCTAGAATCACATCAATACCATTTTTAATTTTGTAGATCACATATAATTTTTCTTAAAAACTAATTTTTACATAACTAAATTTAATATGTATTAAATGCTATTA